CCGCACAAAAGGCCCCCAGCCGGCCTCCCGCAATTTTCTCACCTGCGCCCGACGAACCGCCCTCCGGCCCCGCAGCGGCGCCAGAAGAAGCCCCGCGCAGCCCCAGGAAACGGCAGGAGGCGGCAGCTTGAGGAGGGCTACGGCTCCCGCTCGGTCGCCGGGGCTTCCAGCTTCGGGTCCCGGGACCGAGCCCCGCCCCTCTCCGCTTGCCAGCCCCCGCCCCCGAGTGGCGAGGATCCCGGATGTTACCTCCTTAGGCGCGTTGAGTCCCCGCCCTTTCTCCTCAGGCCCCGGCCCTTCCGAATCCGCTACGGGTCCTGCAAGGCCTAGGAAGACTTTCGCTGTCTCCTGGGTGGCTAGAGCGTCCTCCCGCGCTCCGTCGCGCAGCAGGTGACGGCGCCCGGAGGCTGTCGGGAAGTAGGCGGGGTGACGTGGGGTTGACCGGCTCCGCGGCGGGTTTGCGGAGATCTGTGGCCGGCGGCTGGTGCCGGGGGCGGCCGAGAGAGAGCGCGAGCGAGAGAGCGAACGAGAGAGAGAGCGAGAGAGAGAGCGAGAGCGAGCGAGCGAGCGAGGCGGAGCGGGGCGGTGTGTGGCTGGGGCCATGACGGGCAATGCCGGGGAGTGGTGCCTCATGGAAAGCGACCCCGGGGTCTTCACCGAGCTTATTAAAGGATTCGGTGAGAACCAAGGGGACCGTCCTGGGCCGGGGGTCACGGGAGGAGGCCCCAGATGGGCATGGAGTGGCTCTCTGCGGCCGCCGCCGCCCCGCTTCGGAAGAGAGGTGACTTCAGGAGCCTGGAGTCGGGGTGGGGGCCCTCACGAGCCCGAGGCAGTCACGTTTCCGCAGTCACGCTAAGAGCCGTCCCACGAGGGCAAGGATCGTGCCGGTATTGTGCCCTGCCTTATCCCCGGCACCCGGCACCCGGCGTGACTTGAGGGCTCTCCCTCCCCAGCCTCACACACGCATTTTCCTCTCCACCGTCCCTTCTCTGCGGAGCCCTCCTTATCCCGGGCCAGTGGGATCAGGTGCGTCTCCAAGGCCGTTGGTCCTGCCGGAGAAGCCAGCCAAGGGTGCGCGTTCTCCGGGGGGCGGTGTCTGAGGCCAAGCCGCCCAGGAACTCGAGACTCTAGTTACTCGAAGCAGAATACCTTGCCTGTGTGTATAGCTCTTCGGGACGTGCACCCAAGCAGACTGTGGGCCTGTAAGGGCCGCTTCACGGGTTCTGCTCCTCATTTCTGGCGTCCGGTGAAGTGAGTGTTCTTGAGCTAGTGCTCTAGACTGGAGGCCGCATGCTTTCCTCATCATTTCCCTCTGGCTGTATTCGTTGCCTTCCATCCTGAATAATCAACACATTTGACTTCATATCCTTCCCTGTTTCTCTTGTTCCCAACCTTTTCTTTGGACAGTGCATTTATTTTTATATTACATTTCACAAGTATTATTGATTTTAGCGATTATGTTAAAACGTGTACTCGGGATAACAAATGTTGATCTAGATATTTCTTATTGTGTATAGCTGAATATTTGGAATCTCTTTCATCAAGCATATATTGTTCATCTACTGTGTCTCAGGCACCATGGTAAGGATTGGGAATTTTTAATATAAATAAGCCATGACTGCTGTTCTGAAGAAGTGACTGTCAAACTATAATATGTGTTATTGCTATGTTACAGTATATACAAAATGTTATAAAAACACAGGTCATGGAAGACCACGGGCAGAAGGAAAAGCATAAACAGTAGTGATGTTTAAAGTATGTGGCTTAGGTAATAGCTAGCAAAGTGACTAGAGCATAATGTAACAGACTGGGGGAATATTTATTTGGATCTGAAGCAGAAAAGATAAACTGAGTCCATATTGTATGCCATGGTGTATAGTTTGGGTTGTCCTGTAGTTATTAGGAACTTAACTGTCAATGATGTTTGAATGCTGAAATGACATTACCTTGATAATTAAGGGTTACTTGGCATGTAGTGTGCAGGGAGGACTGAAGTAAGAGGCTAGAAGTCTCTTAAAATGGTTTGAGTTTGAGGTGATTGGCTTGAAATAAAGTAATGGGTCCTGAGAAAGAGTTGCATTCAATAATTTTGCTAAATTTAGGCCGGGCGTGGTAACTTATACCTGTAATCCCAGCACTTCGGGAGGCTGAGGCGGGAGAATCACTTGAGCCTAGGAGTTCACAACTAGTCTGGCAACATAGCAAGATCTCGTTTCTACTAAAAAATCAAAAAAATTAGCCAGGCATGGTGGCACATGCCTGTAGTCCTAGCTACTTAGGAGTTCTGAGGCAGAAGGATTGCCTGAGCCGAAGACGTCTAGGCTATGATGAGCCATGATCATGCCACTGCGCACAAGGCTGGGCAACAGAGTGAGATCCTGACTCAAAACAAATGACAATAATTTTGCTATATTTAAAATTACAGTTGCATGTGGAAATGTCTGCTCCTCCTTCCTTTGGGAGTAGAAATACATCCATAACATGCTACATTAAAAAAAGGAGTTGTCAGGGCTGCCAACCTTACAGTAGAGGTTGAGTGGTAGTATATTACTCCTATATAAAAGGAAAAAAAAAAATAGACCGTTGACTGGATGTGGGAAAAAAGGCGAAAATGACTCTGGTTTCTGGACTGGGTGACTGGTGAAGCACAATTATGAGTGAAGAGCAGGTTTGATGGACAAGAAAATGAGTTTCATTTTGGACATACACTAGGTTGGAGATGTCTACAGATTTATCCATATACCTTACCTTCTAAACATTAACAATTATGTGTTAAAGTTAACTTTCAGAAATATTGTACTAGGTAAGTTTATTTAAAAATTAATTTCGTTCATTAACAGTTATTGCTTCAATTTCATATGTACAGAAAACTTGGAATTGAAAATTAATTAGATAAAATCATGCATCAAAGAATGATATAAAAACACCCTTTGTACCTGCATATATGAAAAATAAAGCAACACCTGTTAATGAATTGACTCTATTAGCAGAAGAATTTGGCAAAAAGTTAAATGATGGTAGTCTTATATCACCATTAGATGCTTCAAAATGAAAATCAGTTTATTTCAAATATTTCCATAATTTTTGAAAAATGGATTTTAAAAAAGCTTTTGGAAGTTGATTTTTTCAAAAGTGAAATATTTACATTGTGAATGCTATTCATAAACTCATTTTAAAAGTCATCACTGGAGGGGAAATTGTGGATGCAATGAATACAAATTTTGGTGGAATAGAATATAGTAAAACAGAGTTTTTATTAAATTAAGAAACTGGTGGCGCAGAACTTACTTTTAATTGTTGTGTTCCATATATAATATATAACTACCAAAACAAACTGTGATGGTGTGTACTAATAAAAACCAGCTATAAACATTTGCTTCCAGCTAGCATGGAGTCATGGGGACTGGATTTACTTTTCCTTGCAACAAGCCAGTGACCCCAGCTGTCATTTTAAAAAGTTAGAAAACAAAGAGCACATTAAATCTAAAGTAAGCAGATGAAGGGAAATAATAAAAATCAGAGTTGAAATTAGTGAAACAAAAAAATAAAGAGAAGAAATGAAACCAAAAGCTGTTTCTTTGATATCAATTTTTTATTAACCTTTAGTCAGATATCGGAAAAAAGAGGAGGCATAAGTTACCAATATAAGAATGAGAGAGGTGACATCACTACAGATTCTATAGATATTAAGAAGATAATAAGGAACCATTATAAACAACTTTATGCCAATAACTGACAACTTGGATGAAATGTACAAATTCCTTTCAAGACACAAACTACCAGAGCTTGCTCAAGAAGTAATAGATAATCAATATATGCCCTATTTTTATTAAAGAAATTGAAATTGTAGTTTAAAATCTTTCCACAAAGAAATTCTTGCCAAGATGGCTTCATGTTAAATTCTATCAAATACATAAGGAATAAATAATATCAATTCTAGACAAATACTTCCAAAGAAATTGGAAAGAAAAGAATACTTTCTAATTCATTCAATGAGGGCCTGCGTTATCGCAACACCAAAACCAGACAAAGACATTATAAGAAAACTACAGACCTGTGTCCATCATTAAAGTAAATGTAAAAATTCCAAACAAAATTTCGCAAATTGAATCCAATAATATATTAAAAGGACAATATATCATGACTGGGATTTATCCCAGGAATCCAGGGTTGATTTAACATTCAAAAATCAGTGTAATTCACAATATTAACCAAAAGAGAAAAACCGTATCATCATGTCAGTAGATGCAAAAAGCACTGGACCAATCAATATCTGTTAAGATTTACGAGGTATTAGATTTTATCCTGCTTGCCAGCTAACAAGTTGGCTTACTGGTTTCATAGATGCTTGCAGACAACTTTTGGTTGGAAATAAAGGATTGTATTACTTCTGGCCTAGTAGGCAGCAGGAGATTTATTTTCGTACTGATTCCCTTGTCCTCCAAATCCACAGAGATTGGCGGTAGATCCAGCTGGATGCTGCACACACAATGAGTCTGTATTATAGCTGAGGAATTCTGAGCTTAGATAACTACTAATCTTAAGGGGCTGCTAGCAAACCTGTTCGGCCTTTGCCTCTGGGGAGACATCTTTATTAACCTGGACAGCAAATACGTCTTCCCTCTGCTTCAGAGAGAGACACTATTACAACTTTGTTTAGTATATGAACGTCCTTGAAAAGATAGTCTGGAATAAAGCTGGTAATTCCTTTCAGAAGACACACAGAAACAGGGGTGACCCACTGAGCATTGTCTCCCCAAAATTTCCATCCTTTGTGTACCAAATAGACTGTTCCCTCTGCCATTCTGATTAATCTGACCAATAGGGTTGATACCAGATCTGTTTGTCTTTTATAATGCGTTACATTAGAAAGTCAGGTGACTTTCTTAAATTTTTGTATTGATCTTTCCTTTTGGCTCAAGGCATTAATTCAGGTACATCAGGGTGTATTTGTGATTTTTCAGACTTCAACTTGCCATGCAAGGAGGAAGTCTAGAGTGGTTCCATCATGTATAGCAACTCTGACCCATGAGTTAGGGCAGATTTGAATGACTTTTGGGTCCAATGTGGTGTTCCCTTAACATGAAAGTGTATTATGACTGCTCCTAAGGTGCACTTTGCTTTGTTTTGAGGAGAGAGGCAAGTTAAGGTCTGGCTTTCACACACAAGTAGTCTTGGGGGTGCATGCTGAGACCCTGGAAACAAGTGTTGCTTATAATTACTGTGGCTTCCAAAATGGGACCAACTAAGTTTAGGGGTGCAGGGTAACAGTGCCTCCAGTTTAGGGCTCCCAGTTCTGTTCAAATAATTGAGTCTAGTCCTTGTTTTTGGGGAGACTGCCTGAGGGCTGTCAATCCACTTTTTCCTATTTGGTCACATCACCAGCCAAATAGGATTTATTTGTACTATTGAGAATCGGTTGGGCAAGACATCTGGGAATGTTTTTTGTGGGAGGCACTGAAACTGGGGCCATCCCTGCTGCTTCTGATGGACTTACTGGTAAGGTTCAAGGAATGACAAATTACTGCTAAAACCATCTGTTGGAAGACAGCCTACCAAGCAGTTATTTACACTTAAGGCATTGACAACAGTTTGAGAGAACCCCACCAGAGTATTTTTTTGGGGGGGGGAGAATAAAGCTCTAGGTTTATTTCATTTTATTTTATTTTTTGAGTTG